CCCCCCCCCCCCCCCCCCCCCCCCCAAAAAAAAAACCACCACCATGTGTTTATTATTTGTGCTTTGTAGGTCTGATTGTGCTATGTTTTTCTTTCTTTGATATTTTGAAAATAGACTTTTTCATTGATATAGCGAAATTAATGTAAAATAGGAAAAATGTGTAACTCACTTCAGAGCGTACAAAAAACCACTAAAATCAGTGTTTATTACAAAGGAGTGAGTTTACAAGACAAAATTGAGAGACAATACCAATGGAAAAAGATTACAATCAAGTACGAGAAAAGGAATATTTGAGTAACGTATCTTTGTATAGCTATTACTCCGTATAGCATTATTTGATTACCAAGTACGAGGCACTTAGCGAAGTTGATTATGCTGATTACCAAGTAAATAAGAAAAGATATCAATGATATTTACCAAATAAAGAACAAAATCAGCATAATCAATGATAGTGGTTGAAATGGCAAGTACTTTGTATAGCTATTATCTGCAGTTTGAGTATAAGAATATTTGAGATTCTTGCATGACCAGTTCTACCCCTTTTAGGGAAATACAAGAAGCACTAGTGGAGATCGGTGACAAGGATGATTCATTTATTGGGTCACGCGAATGGATAGGCGCTATCGAATTGAGCTTTGTTTTAGACAAATTGCTTGGTGTAAGTTCTTATTTTATGAAACATTGTCCTGCATAACTTCTATATCATGACTTTTGTGAAAGCAGGAATTTTAGTAGTAGTAGTAGTCGTCGTATACCCCGCCCCGCCGTGCCATCCAAGTATAGCAAAAAGATAATAGATCATCTTGCACAACAACTGTTTAAAGTAAAAAAAACAAAAATCTGTGGTGTCTGTAGGTGAGTTGCAAAATCATAAATGTCAGATCCGGGGCTGAACTTCCCGAAAAATGTAGAGAATTAGCTGCACACTTCGAGAATCAAGGAACTCCAATTATGATTGGTGAGTTCTTATCTTTATAATTGATTAGGCGAAACTGGAATCCTACCTTAAAATTCTCTTGATGATCTTTTCTATTATGAATACAGGAGGCGGTGTTCTTGCATACACGCTCTTGGGAGTTGATTACAACGAAGCAAGTGGTGATTGTGGGTTCTTAATTCTGGATCCTCACTACACGGGGAGTGATGACATCAAGAAAATTGTGAGTGGGGGTTGGTGTGGATGGAAGAAAGCCGTTGATGGCAAAGGGAAGAACTTCTTCTTACACGATAAGTTCTATAATCTTCTGCTGCCTCAGAGGCCAAACATGGTTTAGTTCATCTGTTGTATTCACAGTACATTATGCTTTCCATTTCCTAAGGATCTCAGGATATATTGATATCAAACTACATGGCACCAAGAGAGAAAAAAAAGTTGTAATTTAAATTTTGTTTGCAAGGATTTTAATTTTTTTTTTTTTTTTAATAAAGTTTAGGGATTTTGATACATCAATTGGAGAGAGGAACAGAGTGTCGACATAGTGTCAGTGCAAACATTAGGCCCTAAAGGATCGTTTATTACGAGATTTCATTGTCAATATAGTGTCAATGCGGACATTAGGCCCTAAAGGATCGTGTATTGTGAGATCCCACTGTCAACATAGTGTTAGTGCGGTCATTAGCCCCTAAAAGATTGTGTATTGTGAGATCCCATTGTCAACATAGTGTCAGTGCGGACATTAGACCCTAAATGATCGTGTATTGTGAGATCTACGGGGAATGAGTACAATATTGTGAGATCCCGAGTACAATATTGTGAGATCCACCTAGAATGAGGACAATATGGTGAGATAAAAATTACAATATTACATTTGAATTGTTACAAATAATTCAAAATTAGTATTAAAAATTAAATGAAAATTAAAATGTAAAATTGTGTGAAATTTAGAAGCTTTCATGGCTTGGGCTTGGCCACATACGGAATAGATAGCGTTCCCGCCCTATAAGCTCGTCACCGAGCAGCAAGCTATCCGAAGAACAAGCTCCCATGGCTCTTGTACACCAACACCACCTCCCACAGTCATTTCAGTCCATTCGCAAGGCCAATCTCAAACAATCCACTTCTAATTCTTGTTTATTTTTTCAATTCAGTACTCGGAAGCTTGCCGGCTGCTTATGTGCGACATCTCCAAATCCCATCAGTCAGTCTCCTTCTCCGATTTTCCTCCCTTTTCTCGAAGAAGAAGAAGAGGAGGAGGAGGAGGAGGAAGATGAAGAAGAACATAAAGAAGTTCTTGGAGGAAACACGACGGAAGATTGGAACGATCCATTAGTCAGATTTTTCAAATCCCGGACTTCAACAACGCAAGATCCATTACCCGAAAGCAAATTATCCCTTCAGAAGAACCGCCGTTCGTCGTGGCATCTTGCCTCCGACGTTGAATGTTCCGTTGAAGCTGAAATTGCACCCGGTGAAGACAAGAAACAATCCGGTTTGGTGAGTAGGAATTCTAGGGCATTACCGGATGGTGTCGTCGGAGACATTGTGCGAACTGCAAGGAATTTGCCTCAAAATACCACTCTAGGAGAGGCTTTGGGTGATTTTGAAGGAAAAATTGATGAGAAAGAATGTCTGGAGGTGCTGCGCTTGTTGGGTGAGGAGAATCTTGTGGTATGTTGCTTGTATTTCTTTGAATGGATGGGGTTGCAGGAGCCTTCGCTTGTTACACCTCGTGCTTATTCTATTCTCTTTCCATTGTTGGGAAGAGCTGGAATGGGAGATAAAATTATGGTGTTGTTCAAGAACATTCCACTCAAGAAGGAGCTTCAGGATGTTCATGTGTATAATTCTGCAATGTCTGGGCTTATGGTCTGTAAGAGGTATGGACATTGTCCTCTTTCTTTTATGGTTATTAATTTTCTTGCTGTTTAGTTTAGTTCTTTGTCATTTATCTTCCTTTATTGAAGAAAACATTATTGAATTGAGAGCTGTTGAATGACTAATACTCTCACCATTTTTGAATGATGCAGTTTTCAAAAAATGCCTTGAATTTTGAAAACATTCCTAAAAGATGGGAAACAATGAAATTCATAGGTGGAAGTAATGTTCGTAAGTATAATTTTTGGAACCAAAAGTAAAAAAATCAAATGGTTATGAGAAGGGGCGTAAGTTTGTAAGTTTCTGATGGTTTGCTTGTTAGGGATCACAACATTGTGTTATGTTTTTCTGTAACGGTGTCAAGGCTATACTTGTGAGATATCGCATCAGTTGGAGAGGAGAACGAAACATTTCTTATAAGGGTGTGGAAACCTCTCCCTAACAAACACGTTTTAAAATCGTGAGACTGACGGCGATACGTAATGGGCCAAAATAGATAATATCTACTAGTGGTGGACTTGAGCTATTACAAATGGTATTAGAGTCAGACACCGAGCAGTGTGCCAGCGAGGACGTTGGGCTCCCAAAGGGGGTGGATTGTGAGATCCCACATTGGTTGGAGAGGAGAATGAAACATTCCTTATAAGGGTGTGGAAACCTCTCCCTAACAGATGCATCATAAAACCGTGGGGTTGACGACGATACGTAATGCGCCAAAGCATACAATATCTACTAGCAGTGAACTTGGGGCTGTTAAAACAGTGCTCGTATAATACCCATGGCCCGCCCCCTCTTTAACCTTTGGTGGCTTCACCCACCCATTGACAGCTTCTAGAGGCAATATGAAGTTTTAGCATGTCATAGCATGTTTTAATGGCTTCTTCTTTGCTATTCTTACTGGAATTGAGTATATGGGAACAGTAAACTTCAAATTGGTTAGAGTCGTAGTGTTTTGAGGGAAAATTAGCACTGTTTCTTCATGTCTTTCAAAGTGGTTGTAGAAGCTTCACTTAGATTATCCTTTAATGATCATATTATGATTTTCAGGTATAATGATGCTTGCGAGGTGTACGCGGCTATGGAAACAAACAAGGTTAATCCCGATCATGTGACATGTTCTATAATGATTACAGTCATGAGAAAGATCGGTCGCAGCGCGAAGGATTCTTGGGATTACTTCGAGAAAATGAACGAAAAAGGAGTAAAATGGAGTCCAGAAGTTTTGGGTGCTCTGATTAAAGCGTTCTGTGACGAGGGGCTGAAGAGTCAAGCTCTTATCATCCAACTGGAGATGGAGAAGAAAGGGGTTACTTCGAACGCAATCGTGTATAACACGATCATGGATGCATTTAGTAAATCAAATCAAATCGAGGAAGCCGAAGGTCTCTTTGCTGAAATGAAAGCCAAAGGAGTGAAACCAACGAGTGCAACTTTTAACATCTTAATGGATGCATACAGCAGGAGGATGCAACCCGAGATTGTTGAGAAGCTTCTGATCGAAATGAAGGACACGGGATTCGAGCCGAACGTGAAGTCATACACTTGCTTGATTAGTGCTTACGGGAGGAAGAAGACAATGAGCGACATGGCTGCAGATGCATTCTTGAGGATGAAAAAGAATGGTATAAAGCCAAATTCTCATTCATATACAGCTCTGATTCATGCTTATTCTGTTAGCGGTTGGCACGAGAAAGCTTACTCGACGTTCGAGAACATGCTGCAAGAAGGTTTAAAGCCTTCCATTGAAACTTACACGACGCTACTCGACGCGTTTAGGCGTGCAGGTGATACCGAGGCATTGATGAAAATCTGGAAGTTAATGATTAGAGAAAAAGTAGCAGGAACAAGAGTAACATTCAACATACTGCTAGATGGGTTTGCAAAACAAGGTCATTATATTGAAGCAAGAGATGTGATATCCGAGTTCAGCAAGACTGGGCTGCAGCCAACCATTATGACATACAACATGCTGATGAACGCATATGCAAGGGGAGGCCAACATCTAAAGATGCCGCAGCTCCTGCAAGAGATGGCTGCTCGGGAGCTAAAACCCGACTCCGTTACTTACTCAACCATGATTTATGCGTTCGTACGTGTTCGGGATTTCAAACGAGCGTTCTTCTATCACAAGAAGATGGTAAAAAGTGGGCAAGTGCCTGATGTGAAGTCGTATCAGAAACTTCGATCAATTTTGGATGCGAAACTCGATACGAAGAACAGGAAGGATAAGAGTGCCATTTTGGGTATAATGAACAGCAAATTGGGTATGGTGAAAGCTAAGAAGAAGGGCAAGAAAGACGAGTTTTGGAAGAACAAGAGAAAGTATGTGAAAACTCTGAGAATTTCTCCTAATGAACAAGCGAAAGTGGAGACTGGGAGTTGATGAATTGACTCACCCATTTGGGCTTTTCTTGCTTGGATGGCCCATTTATGTTCCCTCATGATATGGGCTTAGGAGGCCCAGATTTTGATCAGCTTCATATGGGCCTAGAGCAAAACACTGGCTCAATAGAGAAAAAAGAGGATAAAGTCGAATATTGTACATTATGAGAAAGGGTGTAAATTTCAACTGAAAAATGATCTCTAAATTATGATCATATTTCTTTCTTCCAAATATCTTATTTTCTTCGAGAATTAAATGACCTTGATCCGCCGCTAGATATTGTCCTCTTTGGATTTCCCTTTCGGGCTTCCCCTCGAGGCTTTAAGACGCGTCTTTTAGGGAAAGGTTTTCACACCCTTATAAATGGTGGCTTGTTCTCCTCCTCCAACCAATGTGGGACATCCCAATCCACCCCCTTTCGGGACCCAGCGTCCTCGCTGGCACTCTTTCCTTCCTCCAATCGATGTGGGACCGCCCCCAAATCCACCCTCATTTGGAGTTCAACGTTCTTATTGGCACACCGCTTCATGTCTACCCCCCTACGGGGATCAGTGAAAAGGCTGACACATCGTCCGGTGTCTGGCTTTAATACCATTTGTAACGACCCAGATCGACCGCTAGCAGATATTGTTCTCTTTAGCCTTTCCCTTTCGAGCTTCCCTTTACAAATCTTATAGAGGAATGTTTCCACACCTATAAATGGTGGTTTATTCTTCTCTTCAACCAATGTAAGAACATCACGTATTTAGTTGATTTATTCATATTTTATTTGAATTATGTTACTCAAAAATTAAAATTTTTAAAACATCATGGACATATTTTGTTTAACATTATGTATTTAAATTATAATTTTGATTAATTTCTGACTAGGTAGATTAATTGATTATAATTAATAAAATTTTAGACGTTTTTAATAATCTCTTGATTTTATATTTTGTATTAAAAATTGGCTAACCAATAAAATGCTTTATATGTATTTTGTTTTATCACTAACTAAATTTACCCTAAAAATATATATTTTCATCCCAACTAAAATAAGATTTAAGACTCGGAAATAAATAAATTAATTAATTAAAAGAGATTTTTTATGGGAGTTGAAAAAAGCTTAGCCATATATAGAGAAATTGGATGAAAAAAAAAAAGGAATTATAAAAAAGGAGTCTGGACCGGTTAGCGCACATAACTGTACAACCGGTAATTGGGTAAA